GTCGCCTAGCTGCCAACCCTTCATCTTCATGATTGGTGTAAACCGACACGACTCCTGCTTATTGGGCGTCCACACGAGTACTGACCCCTCCTGCAAAACGCAACTTCCGGACTCGTAGGTGCATTGGGCTAGGTTTCCGACTGGAGAGGCGGGAAAGGTGGCACCATAACGCATATGGACAACAGTTCGAACCAAGAAACAATTAGAAACCCTAACGGTGAGTTTTGAACAACAACCGAAAAGAGCTGAAGGCCACTGGATGACTAGGGGGTTGGAAGTTGCCCAAAAGTCATCGGATTGGGTCAAACTACCATGCTTACTCTTGTGATGTTGTATCATCAGTTTGCAGGATTCCAGGGGCACGACGGCATGAGTCTCAGTCGAATTCTGATTACGTGCTCCAAAGAAGTTAACTGAGTAGGTGACCGACTGGACGCCGATCTTGCACAGGTGTGCCACTGTGTCGTAACGCTGAGTGTTAGGGCGGTAAATGTTGACCGACAACGCTCTGGGGGTTTCCTCAACTGGCGGAATAATCTTTGAGCAATTATACGACGCGGAGATTCGTGCAAGGTCGTCAGCTGAATCATACGGACAAGGCCATGCCGATGTTGAAATCGGTTCCCCAATCACAGCACAAACGAGCACTGAGATGGTAAGGAGAAATTTAAACGGTGGCATGGAAATGTAGACGAGCGGGGAGCAGAAGTGCCAAAAGCTGAGTTGGCCAGTTCTTCGTTGCGTTTCACTAATGCGTTAACCTTAACATCGGATCTCTCGAGTATCAACTTGTTCTCCTGCAGGGAAAACGAGAGAACCTGTATCTGATCCCGGGCTTGCGAGAGTTCTCTGTCTTTTTCATAGCGAGAGGGTGGCAAAAATCCACGAGATGACGCCTGAGAGTAGTTACGATCACTTGATAAACTGCGCCGAAGTGCTGTTCCAGGCGGGACCCTGGGTGAGGGGCATTGACGAGAAAAGTGCCCAACGCCTCCGCAGTTGAAGCAGGTATTGTTTGTTACCGTCCGTCCCGGACGAGGAGACTGCCGATCCCTCGACTGCTGAAGGAACTGAGCACGCCCCCGAGTGAAGGCGTTTCTTGGTGTCTCATAGTTTGGGCGCCTGAAATTTTGTCCTGTCGCCGCCGCAGCCTTTACTTCTATTGTGTGACCCTGTTGAGAGGGTCTTATAAGGCGATCGGCGGTGGCTTCAGCCAGGAGCTGCTCCACCATTTGCGCCTTTGCCACGGCCTGCTCGAAAGTGGCTGGGTTATCAAGTTTAACACAGTAACCGAGGTCGGGCCGCAGCCTTGCTACGAATTCCTCAAGGACCCTATCCTTGTGACTAGCGGGGTCCGGGTGTGGGACGTTAGTCTCGACTGATATAACTTTGCGCCGAGGTGCGAAGTGACCTCATTAATGACTAACCTCATCTTAATTGCGCGCCTCCCCTTAATCGTAACTTACCTAATCCTACTTATGAGAGTGATTTTCCCGATTATTCATTTTCGAGCTGCTATTACAACTGGGTCTTTTGGTTGCATGGTGACCAAGGACAAGAAAGGGGGGATGGCAATGATGGGAATAGTGAGAAAATGAAATTCCAAAAAAGTAGTTTTTAACGTAAAATTTTCATGGTCTTCGGTTTGAGGGTTTTATTACCATGCCAGATGATAGAAATTTCAACAAAAGTAAATTCCAATAAAATGTAAAGAGGCCTAATTTTTCTTATAGGAAGCATCTCAAAAATAATATTTAAACAACTCATATGGTCTTGTTCGTTACGGATTTGGACATATTTATGCAAGACCCCTCAATTTGGATGCGATTTGCTCCTCACCGATGGACTTCGTCGAAGCGGTTAAGAAGGTGCAGATTAGCATAGTACAAGGGTTGCGGTGCGGGTTGGAGCGGTTGGGTAGCTGCAGAAGTATTCTAGAGCGAAGACAAAGGTTTAAGCATTCCCTCTTTCTATAGTCATCCCTTACCCACCAGGCTAAATAGTATCTGATGAATAGTCTCTTCATTGTGCCGAATTTAGCCGGGAGTATTGTAAAATTCCGTGAGAAGTGTGAAATGGCCTAATCAGCTGCAGGGTGTTCAACGACCTTTCAAAGACGAGATACCCCAATATCAAACACCTACGTCGCTTCTGAAAATGTTGTTTGATATCATATATGAGTGGAAATGCAAAAAAAAATGTTGTTTACATCTTTCACGGACTTTATTTTCATGACCCTTGAATTTTTCTGTTCCATATGGTTATAGAACTTTTAAAACTAGAGACAGTGAAATTCTACATCTTACACGAACTTCATTTTATAATCCTCGAATTTTTCTATTCCATGTGGTAATAGAACTTTTAAAACCGAAGTCCATGAGAATTTTACGTTAGAAACTACTTTTCTTGGAATTCCACTTTCTCATTATTCTCATCATTGCCATCACTCTCATAGGTAAGATGAGGTTAGTTACGTTTAAGGGCAGGCGCGTGATTAAGATGAGGTTAGTCGTTAATGAGGTCACTTCGCACCCCGGCACGAAGTAATGTCAGTCGACATTAACGTCGCACACCCGCGGGGTCCTGCCCTGAGGTAGCCGCTCGCACCAAGCGAAGAGCAAAAGTCTATTGGCGAAAGTAGAAGCCGACTCACCAGCTTGTTGCTAACAAGAGGAGAGGGCCTGGTGCGCCATATAGCGGTGTTGGGGTCCCGCGAAGGACTTCTTCAGGTGCGCCACTACCTGGGCATAATCTTTCGTCGTCCGGTAATTCCTCCACCTTCTCTCGAGCTACCCTATCCAGAAAGCCCGTTAGGAAGTAGGCTTTTTGTTGCGACGCCCACGTAGTGGATCTCATCCTCATCACGTCCTCGAGGCGTCTGAGCCACAAGGAGAACTGCAGGGGTTCCCCCCTAGACCTGAGAAGGGGATGATTTGCGGTAGCGGACCATCCGGGCTGACCGTTGCGACTAGAGGCAGCGCATCGATGCGCAAGCCAGAGATTGTCAGCAGGCGATGTCCACGCCTCTCGCTAACTGCAACTTAGCGCTTACGGGACCGAAAAACCCACTCTTGCTACGGTTGGGGACCTTCCAACTGGCGAGTGTTACTCGCAGACTGATTTCGAAAACGAACCCCTCGGGTCCTCCGGAGTGGAAACAGTGTAAAAGGTGCCACCCGGCTGAAGGACAACATTATTTCTACAGAACTAATAACTATGGTTACGTTTTTTTGTGCTTTTTTTTTGATTTTTTTTTTTGATATTATACACCTCCCCGGCGAAACACTTCAACCAAGCAACACAATACTGAATACTGCTACTAGTAGGCCTATCGTACACTTCCTGGAGCCGCCAACAACACAGGTTAACGTCCCTGAACACCACACTTCGTACAAATTACTCCAACGAATTACCTAATTACACGCTAGGGTACTATGCACAACCTTGAACCAACTTGGGGACGAACACCATAATTACGCTCTCGTTATCTTCCTGCAGGATAACCTTTCTCTGAACTACGGCGCCTGACAGTTTTAGACCCCTGTCGCGGATAGAATCCCTTATATATAAAAAAAAGTCAATCGCAATGACAAGGAGTACCGTAGTCACCCGCACGCAGATGGAACTTCATGACCTGCAAAAACCCTGTGCAGCTGGGCGGAAAACTTAGCTGTCTACAGTTGATTCCAAAAAGGGCAACAGGCAGCTGCACCAACGCGGTTCTTTCCTTGTCCAGAGTCGACTCGGGGCGAAGAAGTCACTGAAAACAGAACGCAGCTGGCAGCTGGACACGAACGGGCCCTATCGTATCCATGCCAGACGCGCAAAGTTCCCTAAAAAATTACCTGGCCCCTAACTTACCTCCACAGCGAGGGGGGAACCACTCGCTGCTACCAGTAAGCTCGCGCGCACAGCGGAGCGTGCCTAACGACTGCTTCTGCGAGGAAACTATTAATTAGGATTATTTATCTGTAAATCGACTGACATAGGTTATAAGTGATGCACAAACAATTACAATCATCCAATGAAAGGTAACAATACAAAGAATGTGGACAAAGGATTAATCAGACAGAGCTACACACAGAGGTAGATCATCCCAATAGGATATGATATTGGTGGCCAGAGCTTCGGCCCCATGGCAGTAGCGGGATGGTAGATGCCGCTCGTGGGTAGGGTACCTCGTCAACTCCCTGATGTCGTCCTCTTGCTCCGCGCCCCGCCCTGAAATTCCTTCATGAGTCATCTGAAAACATCAACATATGATCGCCGCGCTGGTCAGCGACAACGCGGCTTACAGGACACAAATGCTAAAACTTTCTCTGCCCACAAACCTATTCTTCTATAAAACTTCACTTTCACTACTGCCATCATTCTAATGATTAATGTGAGTTTATGTACGATTGAGGAGAGGCGCGTTATTGAGATAGGGTGTGGTCAGAACCCTAGAGCGGGCGGAGATTGCGTTAAGGTGGGCGCGGCTTGCGCGTAGATGGGCGAGGCTGATGTAAAATTTGTATCTCCACTCAGAAACGTTCTAGAATGCCGGGCGAAAAGTGGTTAGAGTTAGTAGGAGAAATGTTATCAAAACCGTGAAGTGGGTAGGGCTTGCACGGTATGGGCGGAACTAAGATAAAAGTTCATAGCTCTGTTCAAGACGTTCCAGGATGCGGAAGAAATGGCTAGAGGTTATGGAGGGGTCGGGTCCCTGAATTTCGCCTAGCTTGGACAGGGCGGACAGAGCTATGATCAACCACTAGTACTTCTGCTCAAAAAATACGTCAAGCGGTGTGCCCTCGAAGCTGTTCGGCGTTCAAATCAAAAGAGAATATTTTATTTTAATGATCCAACATTTCGCTGATGACTCCATCGTAGATGAGCGGTCGTGGACATATGATGCTCGCATTTCGTGCATAGCCCAACTAATCAAGTATTAATAGCTGATCATTTAGGAATTACTAATTCCTGTTATGACTACTGTTCGATAAATTCCTTCTGCTCAGACCGTTCCCTTCCAAATTGAATGCTGCGCTATGTTCCACTCTTCCTCTTCGAATATATCCTCCTCCGGAAGAAGAAGCTATTTATCGCAGTTTACAAGATGACGTAGAAAAAGTAGACTTGGATGCTGCTATCTATGACATCTCACCCTCAAAGTGAGTAACTCCTTCATTGTTCTAGTGCTCGCACTTGTAGAGAATTACTGCCATTATAGAGTTAGAGCTTTCGATGTTTTCCTCCTTATTCAGGAATGAAGAGGAGCCTCAGTTTATCTACGATCACATCGTCTGTAGGATGGACAGCCAAAGGAGAAACGATGTTGGTTGTTTTGAGCATATGCATTGATCAAGCGTGGTGCAAATACCTGTTGTGTACCGAATTCAATGTGTGCTGAGTATCTCAACGGTCTAGGTTTGGTCAAGTTTCTCGCCATCTTCGAAACGAGAACACTGCATAAAGGAGCTACTCGACACTGAACAAAATTATGTTGAGAAGGCATTGAATATGATAATCAACAAGTTTTACGAGCCGCTTCAAAAGGTTCTTCCGGAGATAGACCACAAATTGATTTTTATGAACATCATGGTAAGTTCCGTTTCCTAAGGGCTGTCTTCATTCCAGTAGAAATACTGTGACTATGGTGTTAACATTCCAGACACTGTGGAATTTGCATCACTCGTTTCATAGTGACTTGCGGCATGCAGTTTTGAAAACGTTGGGTTTGAACCAACCAAGTGAAGGTGGTCGGCCAAGTTCTTTGGCTTTGGGACGAACTGTTGGTGATGTTTTTGTTCAGTAAGTTGTTCACTGTCTTTGATTTAAGGTCATTCATGACTTCCGTCCTTCCATTTCCTCCTTCCCTCTTTATTCTTTTACTTTTTTCATTTATTACTTTTTTGGTTTTCTAGGCACAAGGACAAATTCATCGCCTACGGCCCTTATTGTATGGGTCTTAGCGATTCGAGAGCTCGTATACTCGAGTTGGAAAAGAGCGATCCTGCTGTGAAGGCTAGGATTCATGTGAGTAAATTTTTAGATGTGTGTTTTTAAAGCGAACCGAAATGCCTACGCATACGATTGCATGGGATGTGCCGCCTCTTTCCCATCATACTTCTTTGTCGTGTTTGTTGAGAAGTGTTTCTGAAAAAAGTCATCAACTGTTTTTCTTTGTTCTTAACGGTTACTAATAAATAGTTCTAGGAATGCGCGGCGTCCGTCAACGACAACCAGTTCAAGTTACAGGATTTGCTGTGTATACCAATGCAACGCGTTTTAAAGTATCACATATTACTCTCGGTCAGCTTCGAATATTTTTGAAGAGAGCAATCTTTGAAGAGTAGGAATCTAGATCAGCAAAACATTGAACTCAGTAAATTTAGGCGTACTGGTAAGAAATCACTTCTAGAGGTTAACCTTGAGTGGTGGTGCTCAGTGTACCTCCTCGCTTATGGAGTCGCATTTCAAGAACAGTTGTGCAATATTAGGAAATCACGGCGAACGTCCGTTGCGCGTGTCCGTCCAAAGTAGGTCACCCCGCCCACTTCGCGCGCGGCGCACTGCACTGAGGTTTCGGGAAGACATTACAGTACCACCAAGTGTGAGTGGAGCGAAAGATTTGCATTTGTCCATGTTATCTTCTCTTTAGCTGACTACCGTGGGAAAGCGCAAATCGTATGCCCCGCTTACAGCTGCGACGTCTGTCAAGTATCGCGGGCTGACCCGCCGCATGCGACGGCTGCGGCGTGACCTAGTTTCGACGGACACGCGCAACGAAGCGCACCCGGAAATCAGTATCGTTAGAGAACGAAAGCTTCCATAGCAAGAAACACAAGGGCATTTCCCTTGCCTAAAAGCACAGTTCACAACAAACATGTTTTATAAAAATTCCTACACAAAACTTTGGCCCCTGAGGATAGCACATGGGCTATGCTTGGGTCGGAAAACAGCAAACATAACAAGGGCTCAAATATTGTTATCGCATTACTTTCAGACATTTATTTGATCCAATTTTCTTGCGAATGCTATGGTTTGCCATAATAAAGTGAATATATTCAAGTTCAACATTTGCGGTGGACTCAGTTTTCTTTTTTTTTCGGTTTTTTCTCAGTTTTACTGAGAGTATATAGAACCGTGTCCTCTTTAGGCATTCGACCACATTTCAATGGAATCTACCAACTTTTTGTCCACATTCTAGAACGTTTTTGAAGAGAGCCATATTATTATACATATTTTTCGAAAAGTATCTTCCAATAGAATGCATGTCCTGCCCATCACGAGCGGAGCTTTTCTGGGGCTACACAAGCACAGTATATATTGTCTTGGCAACTCCCCTGATTTTTTCTGTGGCCTCCATGGCTTCAAGACCCGAGTTATGAACCCATGGGGAAGGCATTGCCCAGGGTCTCCTTCATTTGATTTGTTGACCCATTTCTAACTTTTGTTCATTTTTTCTCGACTTCTAAGCATTCCTCAAGTCAAAATAATTAGTTTCGTTCTAAGCACCACCCATTCCGTTGCATGTCCCATCCCCTGTGAGTGGGGTTTCGCTGGGCTCATGTGCCCTCTGTTGACCTTGCCCTAGGCTCAACCCTTCACAGACTTGTCCCGACCTCTATAGGCCCTTCTTCGACTGATACCGAATTTTGTGACAGGCAAGCAAAACAACAGACCCACCAAACTCGTGGTTTATATTATTATTCTATTATTATTATTTATCAGGTTGGAGTTGTTCTGATATTTTGAGAGTTTACTTGGTTTTACAGTTATGTTTGAATTGCATTTTTGAATGACATGTGATCGCGCATGTTAATAAATCTAAATCTTATATATATATACATATATATATATGATAATGGTCTATCATAATGCACTGACGCAGGTATAAATACGAATCATCAGTTCAGAGTGGCGACCTACTAATATATAATCCACTGTGTCCTGTGTTCCTATGTGTGTGTGTTTGTCTTTCCGGAATTTCGTAACACCTGTCCCACTTGACCTAGAACATACAAATTTGGTAAGATTGCAAGCGTCATAATGGGAACACTTATGATGGGTGGCAGGACCGGACTACGACTTAAGGGGCGGGGTTTGCGCGAAATGAATGTTTGATCGAAAATTTGTAACTAATGTTCCCGTGGATCTAGAGCATTCGATTTTTGCAGGAGTAGGGGCGACATTATCGGTGGTTAGGCGACGGGTAGCAGGCCTAGACTCCACTTAAAATGGGCGAGGCGTGCTTAAGAACTGGCAATTTGTACCTGGGGCGTTCAGATTCGATAGGAGCACAAGCGGCAGGATGTAAACATTGATGATAGGTGTTAGAACTAGACTTCCGCCATCAAGGGGCGGAGCGACCAATTACTAATTTAGACGAGGGCGTTCAAATTTGGCACGAGTACAGGCGGCAGGATTAGGACAGCGATGGTAGGTAATAGAAAGTGAGAGAACTGGATCCTGCTCGTGGAGGCGTAGGGGTTATTGGGGGAGCGAAGCATGCGTGAAATGAGCGTAACTTGAGTGAAAACGGGCAGTGAAGTTCAAATAAGAGGTGTAGAAACCATGTTACCTGAACACACAGGACCTGAGCAGAACATAGCCTATGACGGGCAAAGCGCGCACAAAGTGTGTCGGTGTGTGTGTGTGTGTTTCGCCGGAAGCAATAGTTCTGTTCTCTTGGACCTGAGCTTTCAAACTCTCCGAGAATGCAGGCCGCGGGTCAATTTTACTGCAAGAAGAAGAAGAGGGCGATGCGAATGGTAGTTCACATATAGGTCGTGTAGTAGAGTAGTCGTAGGGATCTATGGAGTCGTTCGACGGTCAGCAGCCGAGAGTGGAAGACGTTTCGTCAATGGAGCGAACGGCCTTTCGTTATCCTGCCGTCTGAAGTGATTGTCACCACTTCGCATTGGTCTCCATGCAGCTTGTAATCAGAGCTTTTTTCCAGAAATCCTATCGGTCAGTTTCCTCCCACCATGATTTTAATGGAACCATTACCGTACCCCCGTGGAGGCTTACACAATCGCGCTGGCGGTCGTCTTGGTTTCTGACGTCCGAAGGATTCAGTCACTAACCACCCTGCTCCAGGGGTCACCATGATATTGCTTAACGTGTCCAGCCTACCTCATCATCGACTTCTTGGCGTAAGCATCGACGTCTCTGATCTTCGTTCCTGACGGAGCTCGGTACACCGGATTCCCTTTTGCACTTGGGTGAGCAGAGAAATTCCGAGCATTGTCCTTTCCAAAGCGCTTTGAGTGACGCTGAGAGCATATGAATCCTGCCTCCGTAAAATCCAAGCCTCCGAGGCATTCGTCCAAGCAGGAAGGGCAGCTGTGTCGAAAAGGTGAGCGCGGAGCCGGATGTTCTTTGTCTTCTTCGCTACTCGCTCGATATCCTGAAAATGCTCCCCACGCAGCGCGTTTCCTTCTGCACAGCTCCGATGCTAGTCGTTCATCATGTTGACTTCCCGACCTTGATACACATATGTAGCTAGAGAATGCAATGAACAAGGCCTCATGCTTGCTGGGCATGCCTAAACTGAGCAAAGCTCCACCTATGATAGGCGAAAGTGCGCTCAAACGGAAGGTACTTTAAAAAATACATAACTATTTCCAAAAATGTTTCAGAAAGAATGAAATGACAGAGGCCATTGATAAAATTTGGTCGAACCCCCGAAGTGGGCGGGGTTCGCTCCAAGGTTGACGGTGCCTAAGTCCATAATACAAGTCTCTGTTCCAAATTGTTTTGAAACGGGAAAAAAAGTGCCCTAAGTTTATAAAAAAGGTCCTCGGACGGTATACACCGATTATCCATCTATATATAAAGTCGCTAAGTTTGCGTGTCTGTTTGTATGTCGGTTTGTGCGTCTGCCCGCAGAAAGTCGCACAGGCGCAGTTATGATTGTGAAATGTCACGTCGGCGCACGTTAACATGGATGAGGATTATGTTATGAAATAGGAAATCTACTGATGCTTGCTGATGTGTTGCTCGCGCTAGAGTGCGCGCCCGGACTGATTATATATAAACCACAAACATCCGTATGTCTGTTGGTCAGTTTGTCTCTCGATCTGTTTGTCACCACATTATATGGCGCCTCTGTGGCATCGATGTGGAACAGATTCGCTAGGTTGAGACTTGTCGGGAATGAGTGGAGTTGCTTGGGAACCATGATCTGGGCCAGGCTCTACCCGCGGGATTGACAGCGTAAGAGTGGTTTTAACGGAATTACGTACTTCCTATTCCCGTGTACCTAAAGCGTTCAAATTTGATAGGAGTACAGGCGCCGATAAGAGAACCCTGAGAGTAGATGGCAGTACTAGACTCCGCCCACTCTGGGCGAGGCATGCGCGAAAATTGCTGCTTTAGAGTAGAGCGTTCGAATTTGGAAGGGTTACAGGTGGCATGATGGCAACACTGCTGGTAGGTGACAGGACTGGACTCTCCTTAAAGGCACCGTTTACATAATTTTGGGTAATCCAGATTATGATGTAAAATGGAAGACAAGATCGAAACTAGTGCAACTGAGGTCAAGAAACTGCGTGCATCGGTGTTTCCAAAGTGAAAAAGGCTTCGAAAAAGCGTTAAAAAGGGGGCTGGACGAGAATGAAACCAGAAAAATGAAGAAGGGTGGGGCGTCCGGACGAGCTAAATAGTGTGTTTCACTGCGCGCGTGTGGGTCCTGGTGCGAAGAACAGACAATGGTAAGCAAAAATTCATTCACTTATAAGCATAAATAAACAAAAAAACCTA